AATCTTAAATAGCTAATTGTGAGTCGCAAATTAACCCCCTTTGCAGCTCCATCGTCGCCAGATTCCTCTTCTGCCCGTCCTTCCTCCTTTTTCTGTCTTTTTCCATCGCCCCCACTAGGTAAGTCGGCTGTAGTTATTTTTTTTTTCATTTTAAATTTTTTTATAAATACCCTGCCTAAAAGTATAACACCACCATATACGAGGACCACATTCGTCGCCGCCTCTGCTTTTCTGGTCAACTCCTCCGCTGTGTGTTTTTCTTCCCTTCTTATTTATCTACTTCTTTTACTTGTGCAATATGATTCATATTTATGTTAGTTGTTTATGGAGTTGTGAGCTCATGTGTTGGATAATTTTAGTTTGCTATTGATAGCTTGGTTCATTGTGGGATTTTTTACGCTTTATTGTGCGCAGGCTAGAATTTGGATGTGTTTTGGTTGGAATAGAAATTTATTTTGCTTTATGTCCAATGTAGGACTATTGGATGGTGTGAACTCATGTGTTGGATAATTTTAGTTTTCGTTTTAAAAAAAATGATTCTTATTGAATTACAATGGCTTTATTAGAAATATGTATGTTTAAGAGGTTATTATAATCTTTTGAACAATAATTTGTATTATGGTTCTATAAATTATTTTGTAAATAATTTTGTTTTTTCATGAAGGGTTACTTGTGGTTGTTTTTTTTTTAATATTTTTATATTTTGATTTTTGTTATCAAACTCCCATCTTTGTTAAGTATACAAATCATATTGCTTCTATTATTTTATTAATGTTACATCAATTTACTTTAAAATGGTATAAATATAATTTTTTAGTGTAAGTTATAAATAATTTAATCAATATTTTAAATTATAAATAATAAGTATCTTAGAAAAAATGTTGTAAAAATTATAATTATTTATCAAGTTAGAAGCATGTGACATAACATATGTTTAAATCTCTTAATAAAGAATGTGAAATCAGCTTTCCTGTTGAAGTCATTATAAGGACCTTTGGATATCATTTCGATTCTAATTGTATTGTATGCCATTATTGTAATGAATACAAGTTTAGTGTGAATGATTTATGTGATTTGTTTTTCATAGTGTTGTAGAATTTGTCACCATGAAAAGGAAAGAGCGTTGGTGGATGTACGATAGATACGATGGCGGTATTGCTCGTAGACTTAGGCCAGAGTTTGTGGATGGTATTGAACAATTCATACGGTTTTGTGAAGCTCATCCTGAGAGCCCGGGTATAGATGAAGTAAGATGCCCTTGTCTGTTATGTAAGAATAGACGTCTTTATGATGCCAACACAGTAAAACTCCATTTGTACAAAAAGGGGTTTATACCTGATTACTATGATTGGGTTTTTCATGGTGAAGGGTTCCCTACATCAAGTGTACAACAACCAAATACTTACCGTGAAATGGTTCTAGATGCTCTTGGGAGTAATCATGAACCACCAGGTGACGATAGTACTAACGGTTCAGACGAAGAGCCAAATGCTCAAGCAAAAGCATTTCAAGAGCTTTTAAAGGCTGTCGAGCAACCTTTATACGAAGGTAGCTCCATGTCTGTGCTAGAAATGGCATCTCGAATTGTATCTTTGAAGTCGGAATACAATTTTCCCCATAGGTGCATTGATGGGTTTGCTTTATTACTGAACGAAGCGATTCCCGACAACAATAAGATAGGGAAAACATTCTATGATACAAAGAAGATTCTTAACGGTCTTGAGCTTCCGCACAAGAAGATCCATGCATGCCCAAAGGGTTGTATGTTATTTTGGAAAGCTGATGCTGAGTTGGATAAGTGTAGAGTGTGCGAAAGGGATAGATACAAGAGGACTTCAAAGGGGTCATTGGTTCCAATAAAAGAACTCATCTATTTTCCAATCACTCCAAGGCTACAACGGTTGTTTGCAACAAAGAACGCTGTGGAGGAAATGACTTGGCATTCCAAAAATCCAACAGTCCAAGGCACAATGGCGCATCCTAGTGATAGTGAAGCTTGGAAGCACTTGGATAGACCCTTCCCCGATTTCGCATCTGAACCTAGAAATGTGAGACTTGGTATGTGTACCGATGGGTTTGATCCTAATGGCAAGTTTGGGGGTCAATATTCATGTTGGCCAGTCATTCTGACCCCTTATAACTTGCCTCCTTCGATGTGCATGAAAAAACCATTTATGTTCCTTTCTTTGCTCGTTCCTAGTCCTAAAAATCCGAAGGGGAACTTGGATGTGTATATGCAACCGTTAATTGAAGAACTGAAAGAACTGTGGGATGTTAGTGCAACAACTTACGACATCTCGCAAAGAAAAAACTTCAATTTGCGTGCAGCAATCTTGTGGACTATAAGTGATTTCCCAGCATATGGTATGCTTTCTGGATGGGCAACAGCTGGTAAAAAAGCATGTCCATATTGATTGGACAAATCAAAAGCTTTTTGGCTTGAACATGGTGGTAAAATGTCTTGGTTTGATTGTCACCGACAATTTCTTCCTCCCGAACATCCTTTTCGAAACAACAAAATTGCTTTTTGTAAGAACAAGGTTGAAAAGGGGACACCACCTCACATAATGTCCGGCGATGAGCTATGGCAACAAGTTCAACACTTTGCTAAGGCAACAGATGGACCAGAAGCACTTGCAAGCTTGAACAAGAAGAAACTAGGTTGGTTTAAGCAAAGCGTTCTTTGGGAGCTACCGTACTAGAAGACTCTTCTCCTCCGCCACAACCTCGATGTGATGCATATTGAAAAGAATTCACACAGTGATGGATGTGAAAAACATACTTCAGACACAGTTGCATCTAGAAATGACATTGCCAAATATTGCAAACGACCACAACTACATGTGACGGAGGATGCGAGAGGCAAAGATACTTTGCCGAAAGCCCCATTCTCACTCGACAAGGCTCAAAATAAAGTGTTATGCGAGTGGGTAAGGAACTTGAAATTTCCCGATGGTTATGCTTCTAATTTGAGTAGATGTGTAGATTTACAATCATGTAAGCTTCATGGTTTAAAGAGCAATGACTGTCATGTCTTCATGGAGAGATTGTTGCCAGTTGCTTTGAAGGAATTGCTCCCGGTCCATGTTTGGAAATCTATTACTGAGATTAGTCTTTTCTTCCGTGATCTTTGTTGTTCCACCATCAAATTCAGTGATGTGGAAAGATTGGAACAAAACATTGCAGAAATTCTTTGTAAGCTCGAGAAGATATTTCCACCAGCGTTCTTCAACTCTATGGAACACTTACCAGTTCACTTGCCTTATGAAGCTAGGTTATGTGGTCCTGTCCAATATCGTTGGATGTATCCGTTTGAGAGGTTTAAGATCCTACAAAATCATAGTTGCCATTTTCGTTTATACACCTATAGTTGTTTGCATAGCATATAACTTATTCAATATTTTTTATTATAGGTTCCTTAATCATTTGAAACGTAAAATTGGCAATAAGGCTCATGTAGAAGGTTCAATATGCAATACTTATCTAACGGAAGAGATAGGTTACTTTTTCTCTAACTACTTCCAACAAGGAGTGGATACCAAAACACGAGACTTAGGTCGAAATGTTCATGATGATGTTGAAAGCACTTTGGATGATAGTGTTCCAGAACTGTTTAGGGTTGATCATGGACATGCTTCTACTGGTGGAGTTCGTTGCTATTTGGAATGAAAAATAACTACAACGTGCTCATTTATATGTTTTTGGAAATAGCGGTATTCTGGAACCATATGAGAGGTATTAAATTTGTAAATTATCACAGTCACCAAGATTTCATTGAATTGTGCATCGTATCCAATGTCAACCACCTTCATTAATACTCTTTCTCTAGTTATATGGAAGGGGGTTTGAGGACCACATTGTTCAAATGCAACCCACTATTCGCAAAGAAGATGTGTGGATTAAACATGAAGCTGAATTCCTCGAGTGGTTTAGGTTGAAAGTGAGTATGATACGCATTTGACATCAACACGTTTTCTTACTTTGTTTCTATAACTTCACGACTAATATCAACTTATTTATATAATTATGCCATATGAGCAGGTGATTCAAGAAAATCCAAATGATGAAATATTGTTTGCTTTGGCTATGAGCCCATCTAAGCGAGTGCGTACTTGGAGCCAATTCTATGTGAATGGATACAAATTCCAAACTTATGTCCATGGAAACCATAAGTCAACAATGAATTATGGAGTAAGCGTATCCAATGAAGATGGTGGTGATTATTTTGGTTTTCTAGAGGATATCATCGAGTTGGAGTTCACTGGTGCCCTACGGACTTATAAGACTGTTCTTTTCAAGTGCAGCTGGATGGATTCCACTAGGGGTATGAACATTGATCAATATAAGCTTGTAGAATTCAATCATACCAAAAAATACCCCAAGTACGATCCATTTGTGCTTTCTTACCAAGCAAACTAAGTCTACTATGCACCTTACCCAAGTCTGAAAAGAGACAAGGCTCAATGGTGGGAAGTGTTCAAGACAAAGGCGAGGTCTATTTTTGATGCACCAGTTGACAAAAACTTTCTACAAGAAACTAGTGCTGACATTCCAACTCTTTGTGCTCCGGATGACATTCCGGACTATGAAGGTGATGAAGAAGGTTTTGGAGATTCGGATATTGAAAATGAAGTGTTGCCCGATGCCCCTCTAGACGAGTCCAATTTCGAATCTACTGATAGTGAGGACGAGGATGAGGATGAAAGATTTTGGGATGACGATACCGATGATGATCTTAGTGCTGATGGGGAGGACGATTCAACTGAGATTTAGGAGATTGATTGTAACCTTGTTTTGACTTTTTAATTATGTAATCTTAATGGATTTCAATTTATTTTAAAAGACCATCCTAGTTTCAATGTGATATACTTGTGTAAATATGTTATTATTTATATTTTTCAAAGCTTAGGTTATGTGTGACAGTAGCTTATAGATCGTGATATAACATGGCTATATGACTTTTATCGATGTTCATAATGTTTTACTTATTGTAGGTTGTCATGGCTGGTGGTGGTCGTCGGAAGCTGGGACATGCCACCCCGAGAGAATTGTTTCCGTCGACAAGCCATGAAAATACGGAAACTTCTCAGGAAGTTACCCCATCCCCTGAGCCAGGTGTAGGTGGTTCCGGGACATCTACTCAGGTTCCTAAGACGCAAGACGGTAACTCTCCCATGGGTAAGGTTCCTACCCCCGTTGCGAGAAGGACTTTGCACCCGACGGGGTTATGGTAAGTTACTCATGGTTATCTTAATTTTCATTCCAACTTGAACAATCTTGGTTAGATTTGTATGTAATTACTTCATTTGTTTGCTTATTGGTATAAAGGTTCGATGATAACACCGTGAGCACCTCCATTACAAATATTTTTCAAGCACATTGGCGCGAACCATGGCTTAACTATGAAATGGTTGACAATGATACTAAGACCCACTGGTGGAACTCGTTTACGGTATTATAAAACCCCCAAGTTTAGTTTACTCATCTAACTTTGTTGTTTTTAGGTTACTTATTACAAAAAATTATTATACAATTTTTTTTCTTGTTTGCAGAAACAATACCTTCGGAATGCTGATCTTGATGCCCTCGTGAAGAAGGAGTATGAAAAGAAGGCACATAAGAGGCTGAAAGAGATTACATACAATGTTTCGGTCCGAAACAAGTCAGTTCCCAGATGGATGGGAGAGTCTATGTTTGAGCGAATTATGGCGAAAAGAAAGGATCCGGTATTTCTGGAGAGGTCAGAAAAAGCGAAGAAGAACAGGAGGGGCGGCTCCCTGTCTAATCCAATTGAGCCGTCACACTTCCAAGGTTCTATCTCCGCATCAAAGCATGCAAAAAAATGGTAATACTTAATGATATATAATGATACTGATAAATTTTAGTAGTAACATACACTAAGCATTTATGGAGTAATTTGATTTGTGCAGGCTCAGAAAGCCGGTGGAGTGCTTCCAACTGCTTCTGAGGTGTTCCTAAAGACATATTTTAAGGAAGTTCCAAGAAAAGGAAAAGTTGCGGCTAACAAGAGGGCACAACAAATCTCGGTAACACATCTAACTTTGGATTTTGGTAAGTTACTCATGGTTATCTTAATTTTTTTTTTGCGACCAGTTAAATTACGACCGTTGCTTTGCGACCGGTGACGGTCGCAATTATAAATAGCGACCGTTTTCCTCAAAAATTGCGACCGGTGCTGGCGGTCGCAATCCAATGGTTTTTTTGTAGTGAAAGCACAACAAACTTTTTTCCTCACCAGGCGGCAACAAGTAACTCATAAAAAAACATGAATACGAAGCACATGAGAAGTCTCCATACAAGATTTCATGTTTTTTTTCTTTTGTTTCATCCCTTTCCCCTAATAAGTCTAGCATAGGTTCTCCTTATCCTTATGTCTATATGCCATGTTCCATCAATGAGCATCTCTTTCTTACATTCGATCATGTGATAAAAAATAAATAAAAAAATCATCAATTGCCGAACTAAACACAAGGTACACCAATGATTTGAGGAACCTTTGCAACCTTGTCATTCCCCATTAACCACTCAATCACATATCCATTTCTTCATCAACCACTTTGAGCCTCGTCTAACGTTTGGCCTTCATTTCTCAACCCACATTCACTTAACCCTGGGATTTGAAGATGTGTAATTGTATAAATTTCAAAAAGCAAGTAAAAAAAAAAGTAGCAAAGCAAAAATAAAACAATGTCTAAAGGCAAGTGTTCCAATGTCTTTGATATGAACACGTCTCAAATTGCGTCTCTCATCGAGTGCTCGGTACTGTGCTTGAGAAACATGAATGCTAAGTGAGTTATGGACCACATGATCTGAGATTGCCTACATTGATTCAAAAGAATGAAAAAAAAACAAAGTTCAAAGCAAAAAAAATAATAATAATAAAAAAATAAAAAAATAAACTTGCAAAATTCAAAATTTTCAAATTCACAATTACACATCTTGGGGGCTTCTCTCGAGTCTTGAGCCTTTTACCCTTTTCTTCCTTAAACCATCAACTTAACCACATTAAAACCCTTGAAAGACCTCTTTGAGGTGATTACACACTTGTGCAAAGTTCGGTTAGAGCTACGTTCGGCCTGATTCCTAACGGATACGTAGGCAACCTCACATTGAGGTGCGACCACATTCATATTCATATCTATGCATGATCGAGTCAAAGAATATCCAATAATGCTTATCACTATATCCCTACCCATTTAGAGCTAGACTTGGGGGCTTGAACCCACATCACATTAGCTTACCCAGCCTAAAGAGTCATCATCTTTGTCTCTTCACGCATATATTTCCATCACCATAACCTTTGCAGCCTCACCTTAGTATCACTTTCACACACTTCTTTCACACATACATATCCATATCATCTTTCCCTTAGGAACCCTTTATCATGAAATCTTGTTTCCCTACCGTGCATGCTTCATCATCTTTCAAGACAACATTCATTAGAAGAAACGTTGTATACTTGCTTAGCTTCCTAACCTGAGCAATATTCATTGTTTCATGCATCGCATAATGTGCTGAGTAACATTTCTATATTAATGATTTATAATAATATAAAGCATATCGTTCTTAGCTCCTTGACCTAAGAAACGTCCATAATCACTTCATCTATATACGTGCTTAGCTTCCAGACCTAAGTGACGTTCAAGATCGCTTCTTTAAACCATATATGATTCTTAGCTCCATGACTTAAGTTCATTCATCTATCGTGTCACATGATGTAATTGTCCTTAGCCTCCTGGCCTAAGAACATGCATCATGCATACATTATTTTCAGGACAAGCAATTCAATCCATACGATTCATTTCGTCTTGCTCAACGAGGAAGTTCAAAATTTCTTCCCTTTTACATTATAATATTTTGGGGAAGTTCAAAAACTTTTTCAAAAATTTTATCGAGGGAAGTTAGAAAATAAAATTTCATTTTTCACGTCTTTCTTTTTCGGGAGAAAGTCGGTACCCTCCACTCGTCTCATGACAAAAATGATGGAAAATTTTTGCTTTTGCATTTTTGGTTGCTTGTGTCTGCACACACACACACACGCACACAATCACAAGTCATACTCATGTCATGTCATGTCGTGTCAAGTAAACTTGGTCAAGTCAGTTGGTTAAATCAATCATAGTTTATACGAGTCCCTTGGCAAATTTTATTTTGCAGGTCTCAATTATAGCCCACGTCCGGGGACAAGCGGACCATTTACAGCCTTAAATCATTCTCCGTCCCTATCGGCTACTTTTACTATCGTTTTCGAAACTGACGTTTCTACAAACTCAGTCAAAGTGGGGGCTTCTGTAAACACCTAAAAATGTCTCCCCAAAACCAAACCCGATGATGAACAACCTTTCACCGCCACTATTGGTCGGGTTCAGTATTTAAACCTGAGAGTGCTTCAAAAATCGTATTTGATTAAATTCATATTTTTGAACAGTCCATGGATTAGTATTGATATTTGGTAAAATCCTAGTTTTAATTTCAGCCCAAATTTATTATTTAATTTTAGCCCAAACCTTTTTTTTATTTATTAATTTATTATTTATTTTTGGCCCAAACCTTTTATTTATGTTATTAAATTATTTTCTTATATTAGCCCAAATGATATTAAATCAGAAAAGGCCCGAAATTGTCAATCGACACTTAAAATGCTGAATGAAATTAGGGTTAAAAATGTATTTAGACGGAAAAGCGGGCTGGGAATTCTTGCGCCACGGCAGGTACCCACCGTGTCACGGGAATTATTCCCGTCTGACGGTGGGATTTCCCGTGACACGGGAAATTTCGTGTCTTTTCCGCGTAAACCCTTAACGTGTTTTCTTCCCCGTTTACTGAAAATTTCCCGCGTCACACTAAAAATGCACCGTGTCACGGGAAAGTTTCCCGTCTGACGGTGGGACTTCCTGTGTCACGGTACAGTTTGCCGTGTCGCGGGATACTTTTTTGGGGTTTTTATCATTTTAGGGTTCCGTGTGCTCCCTCAGCTCATTTTATCTATAAATACCCCCTCAATTCTGATGTACGGGGCATCAATTAATTCTCTAGTTGATTTTTCTCTCTTCTACGCTTTAGCCTAAACACTAGCCTACCCTTCTTATTTCAAAATTCCTTCTTCAAGTACTCCAAGGAGTCCATACTTTACTCGTGGTTCTGTCCTTAAGCCAAGGCGTGAAAGGTAGAACTGTTTGAGGGTTTGGCCCCAAATCAACTCTACTTTGTTTAATTTAATTTAAATATTGTTTTATCATTATTTCCTTGAAGTTATTAACTCATTTATTATTTTGTAGTTGCAAACAAACAAAATCAAAGTAAGAATTATGTTCCTCTTATTTCTATTATTTTTCTAACGATTTTATATTGTTGGAATTATTGCTAAATTGCTTCCAATATTAATTTTTATTCTATTATTATTTTTTATCACCATATTGCATGTTTAAAGGGAATATGTAATTAAAAATCACGCCGAAAAAGATAATTTGGACAACCGGTTTAGGTTCCTTTTTAATCTTGTTGTTTAATTAAGTGATCACAAATATTTTAGAATTATATGTTGCATTAATATTAAACTAATTTAGCATAATAATAGTTTGGAGCAAATTGAATCTTTATTTGTATGCCTTTGAGATTGCAGGAATCACTTTTCACTATAAGAATCGAGTAGAGGCCAATACAAGCGAATGTGACTACATGACTCACTTCGTACCATCATCCCCGATCCTCCTTTCGTGGTTCCGAACCATATGGAGTTAGTAATCTCATGGATTATGAATGGGGTGTAACCTTCACGGGTCAATCGTAGTTGCCTTTCGTTGTCCCTTTATCGCGGTTTTTATTAATGATCCGTGAACGGTTTACAAGTTCCGTAAAAAAACTTGTTGGCGGCTCCTTACTTTATTTGTCCCTAATCGTATTATGTCAATTCCCACTTCCTATGAGTGCCAAGCATATTCACACATGCTTTTAACGTAGGCGCACTTCGAGCAACGCTTATAATTAGGTTTAGGGTTTCGAGCATTCTGCCGCAGCAGGTATCGCGCGCAACAGAATGAGTTGCGCGCGGCATCCCCAGCGCAAGTGATTTGGTTGCGCTGCTAAGGTAGCGAAACTAATTGTCTTGAGCGCGGATTTATGGTAAGATTTGAATTTATATTTTCCGTATAATTCTGATTCTTCCGTAGCACAACTTTGGGGGTTGCGCTAGGTGTCGCGCGCAACTGAATTAGTTGCGCGCGGCAGCTTAACGCGACTCTTTGAAATGCGCGTGGCTTTTTCTTCGGCAGCACTAAGATTTAACCTAGGCGCTCCTAAATCCGTCATTATTAGGTTTTAAGCACGGGTTTAAGCCTAATTATGATCGGGTTTAGTCAATTGGACCTTTGTTTTGGCTTTTTCTTTAATTTAGGCTAGTCTTTTGTGTTTTGTGGTTTAAACAGTTATCCATAAGTATTATTCACTTCTATCCAACACGAAGATGGTTTTATT